CAGGTGACCCTGAATCCTCCCTTCGTTATACTGCAATACCCCGAGGCTGCCAGCGGCTTCCCATGATGCGTTGAGTTTTGTGTGTCTTTGTCCTGTTTTCCTCCCCTAACCTCAGAAGGGACTTACTCAACCTGGTTCTGCCGGAGATTTCTTCTAAGGGAATTTTTCCTTCCCGCTGTCACCAAAGTGCTTGTTTATAGGGTCTCATCTAATTGTTAGGGTTTTCCCTGTTTTCTATATATTACTGTAGGGTCTTTACCTTTCAATATAAGGTGCCTTGAGGCAACTGTTGCTGTTATTTGGCGCTGTATAAATAAAATTGTTACAGATTTTAGGTTTATGAATAAGTTTTGAGAAGATGAGTCTTGCTATTCATACTTTCATTAACGCACACTTTCCTTTTCACAATCGTTAGTTTATGAGGGGCAGCCAATCAAAAGTAAGTTTCCATAAGTGAATGAATGGAGGGGCTGTACCAAAGTGTAGGTTTTCTAAGGAAGTCCAATAATGCAAATATGGTTTTGAAAATGAAAAGACTCTGTTCCCTTTAACAATAGTTCTGTTTTGCATTAAAGTTATTACATGCAAGCTGAGCAAAAATGTTGTATAGAGTTTTTGTTTGTCCCCTGGCTGTATCATATTTAGCCGATGCCACAACAGGCGTCTTGGGCTTTTTCCTACACCTCCAACTAAAGTCTACAGAGCAATTCTTGAGAAGTAAGCAGATGTTAAATACCCGATAATTGATCACTGACAATGCTTTCCAATTACTTTGATCATCATTTATAGTGGAAACTCTCCAAAAGAGCCACATCACAGTTCTGCAGGCTGAGTGAAATACAGCCTATTGTCATTAAGCCACATGAACACTTTCACAAAGCTACATAGAGTAGAAGGTTTGTGCACAATGTGTCTCTGTTTTTAGGTCAGAGGGTGGATACGGCGTTGCAAATCTGGCACAAATTACACGCCTGCAGCCACCAGCAGTCTGAGGGAATTCCGGATAGGAAGCTGTGAGAAGTCCTCATCGACTTAAACGGAGTTAAACCTAAACTCTTTCAAGAGGGTTTGGCTGTAATGCCTCCCCAAGTGGAACAAATGGGTGAGCTGGCTAACCAGAGATCATTTTTCAGCTTCATTTTAAAATGTGGACAAACTAAACAAGGAAGCCAGAATCAACTTAATAGTATGTAAGCAGTTTGACTGCGCCACTGAGTCACTTTCTAGATAAAGATTGATGACTTTATAATGCATTTCAAGATGAATCTGCCACAAAAATGAAATCCACAAACATGGAGAAAAATTGATTTCTACACAGATTTTTACTGGAATATCTGACACAACAATAAGCTGGTTAGTATTGTAGAAAATTGCATCATTTTAATTCATACAGTTCTATACCATTACAGGCATATAATTTCAACAATGATAAAAATGTTTTTCAATAGGATTTGGATGCTGAAGATGATACTCCAGTTCTTTTCCAGCAGATATGACGAAAACAAAGTGAAGATGAAAGACATGTTCTGATGTTTTTTGGTTGTTGTTGTTTTTTTTTTTATTGAATTCAAGATATTTGATGTCTATGTGTTGCAGACACAAAGCCTGCTGTAATCAGAAAAGGTTCAAAAGCCATTCATTACTGAAGTCTAACGTTTTTAGTTTTTATTTTTAAAGCAGAAGCCACTCTAACAGCTACATAAACAAGATACTCATCTAATGACCTTTTCCTTAATTAGTGCTTTTAATGTGAATAGAGCTTTTAAAGTCCAACATGCTTATTAACTCTTCCTAACCTCCTCATTATAAAAGTTATTGCTTAGAGCCCCACAATCTGCATGGGTTCCCTCAAAATAGCACAAAAAAGGAAAGACAGTTAAGATACTGTCAGAACTATTTTATAAGTGTGCACATCAAAAACATAAATTTTAATATCAGTCAGTTTGTTTTATAGTCTTCCATTATTATTCATGCTGATGTTTGATACAAAAATAGCCAGTTTTTGTTTCATTTGTCCACTTCTGTGTATTTGTTTCGGTGTTTCTTTTTTAAAATATTTGTAACTACATCAAACCCTGTTCAGTGCAAAAAAGCATCACCAAATAAAAGGCTTGTAAACATGAAGTAAATACCAGTAAAAGCAATACATCAGCAAACAGCCAAAACGTAAATGAGAAATGGAAATCCAGTCTATGGAAGTGGCGTGGCCTCAATTTATCCGTGTGCTATCCTGGTGCCTCGTCACGCTGCTGTGGTCACATAATGTTTTATTGATCAATGTGTTGCACTGTTTTTATCAATAAAACAATTTCCTCAGGTACAGGAGCAGGCTCTTTAAATACTCATAAACTGTAGGCGTTTCTCTCTCTTTCTGAATAATGACAGCCTTCAACATGTGATTAAGCCCGGAAACAGGAAATTGGCTGAAACACAAGTCGGGCAAACAATTGGCAAGAACGTCACCAACCACCTCTCCCAAAAACAAAATTCATTTGTGAGTTGTGTGTGTGTGTTAGAATCCATCCATTTGCCTCAAACAGTTCCTCTTCTTAACCCTCAAATCCCCTTGATCTGTTTAAATCCTCAAAGATAAAGTGTGCAGAACCACCCATGGAAACCGCTCCCCTGAAGCAACAGGTGCAATGTATTTTTTCATACCAGTATTGCGTGTCAAAACCCCTTTGAGGATACGGTTACTTCCAGACAGTGAGGGAGCCACAGGAAATCTTCTCACACGCGACGATTCAAAGGTGAAATTTAGAGTCCTTTAGGGGCCTCTCGGTAAAAGCTGCCCCGGGTCTCCCTTCACTTCCTCGATGGCCACAAAGGGAGATCAGCAGGTTGCTCTCAGCTGATGTTGGAAAGGCCACGACTCAATGTATAGCGTACTTATATTATTCTGTAAGACGACAGTTCCTTCCTCTAAGACTGAGGCAAAGGAACTGCTGTCTGGCTTGATTTAGTAAGCAAGGCCTGCCTGAAGGTCAACCACAACAATAAACACAGCACCCATGCTATCTTGCATAGATAGAGCACTTTAGGTTGAAGTAGTAAAATGTTGCTTTTTTTGTTTCTTTCTTTGGGTTTTGTTTGTTTGTGTGGTTAAAAGAGGTGTGCATTTATTTATGTGAGGCAGGGCAAGACAGAAACATTTGTAGTCTGAACCATAGCCTGAAGAGCGAGCAACTAATCAGGGTTATTTTTCGTATGCATCTGAGATCGCCTTGGTTAAAGTATTTGATACGAGCTGACCAGTACGTTGAAGGATCCTCCGCTTTCTTTGTCAAAACACAATCTGGACGGTTACACTGGGGATCACTTTGAAACAACAGAAAGAGACAGACTGACGGCAAGCACAATGAGCAGATTCAGCAAGACTTAACATCTTGCATTTTGTCAGCTTGATGTTCTCATAACACCTCACTCCTTCGGCAAGCCATCTGGTCTATAGGCTCCTTTCTATTAACTCGTTGTCTTATGCTGTCTGGAACATCAAAATCAAAGTTGACTGTGCATGAACAACGTGGGTGAATATGACTGAAAAACTGCAGGGTTGTGTGACACCAGAGCTACAGGGATTTATAAAAAAGGGAAAAACAGCAGTTTGCAGTAATTGTCTCTTAGTTATTGAAAAGAAAATATGCAGCTGCAACATAAAGTCATCTATTTGATTCTAAAATTATAACTAGATCCACGGGGACCTTCTGATACAATTCAGACAAAAATAACTTCAACCAGCGACAGGGAAGGTGTATTTAAATCTTCCTCAGTACTCAGAAGCACCTCAAGAGGTGAATTTGAAGAAAAGCCACTGGTGGATACAACAGGCTTTTTTTTGTAAGCAAGTGTCACAACAGTAAAAGCACATAAGTAAAATTAATGATAGCTGAATTCAGTTTCACTGCTTCCGTTTCTGCTGCCGCGCTGTGCAGGCTGGCTCGCTGTCACAGGAGAGCTTCGACAGAAATGAGAAGTTGTTCATTTTATCAGCAACAGCTGTGCTTTTTCCAACTTTGACAAGTAGAAACGTCTGCTGTGAAAACACCTGATCATCTCCAACCATCTTCCACTGGGGGGGGGGTTACTCGATTATGTTTACAGAATAAACACACTGCTAAAACAACTGCTTCATCATTTAAAAGGCTGACGGGGTTGAGCTGATCACTACTTGCATCTGAGCATCCACAGACAACTAGCATCAAAATAATGAGTAACTGGCATCATATATGCAAAGATTTAGATGAAGCAGAGTTGTGACACCATAGAGGATGATGGAAAAGAGAAAATAGAGGCTCTACATGCTTTAAAAAAAATTGATGCAAGTCGTATTCTCTTTACAATTTTTTGTAGCGTTGAATCGTATACATATGTAGCATGTCTTTGTTTATGTCACTTTTTAAGAAGTTTGTTATTATAAAAATCTTCTTCACATCATCTTTATGATATTAGCAAACAGCTGAGAATGCAGACTGGAAAAAAGCAAATGGATAAAAGGTTCATTTAATTTAAGACTGGTGTTTATTTCTTTTTAAAAAATGAATCATTAATAAATGTAGGTAAATTAGTTGTAATATTTATTCCATGATCACCAATAAAACCAGCAAAATTGAGAGCTTGTAGTAAATTCTTTTATATAGGGCTATACTTTTAAAATTGGGTTTATGGAATAGTTGGTGCCTCGTTTTCTCCGACAGCTCATCTCGCCTTTCTCCTTACATGAAGTAAGATGACCGACACTCTCACTTTTGTCTATTGTTATTAATAATAATAATGGATACTTTATTGATCCCCATGGGGAAATTACTTGTTTTTCTCTGCATTTGACCCATTCACTCAGTGAAGCAGTGGGCAGCCCACTAAGCAGGCGCCCGGGGAGCAGTGTGTAGGGACGGTACCTTGCTCAGGGGTACCTCAGGGTAGCCGTTAAGTGGATTCGAACCGCCGACCTTCCGATCATGGGGCGACCACTTTACCTACTGAGCTATCCCTGCCCCATTGGGCTCGATGCTAAGGTTTCATTTTATAGCCAAGATGAAGATGTGCTAAATTCATTTTCTCTTTCATACTTTCACACTATAAGTCGATTTAAGTTAAAAAAAAACAAAACAAAAAAAAAACTTATCTTAGCCCAATCTCAGCTGTCATATTTTTTAAATAAAGAACTTTAAGAAAACTGTTAAATGTGTATGTGCAGATGGTATTTGGCAACATTAAAGCTATCACATGATTAACATGCATACATTTAAGCTGTTTCAAATCACAAAATGTAACATATTTAACTAAAGAGCTACATTTCCCCCTGCTGGCAAAGCCTTTGCTCCGCAGTCACCAACAGGAGAGTTACAGCCATATTATGTATGATCCACCTGAGGCAAGTACATTTGAAGCGGGGGGTGGAGTGGGGTGGAAAGCTCCAAGCTGCTCCAGCATCACCGCAGATCAGGCGTTGAAGCCCCCAAGTAAGTGCTTAGGTCTGAGATGTTAGATTTGATGATCTTTGCTGGAATGGTCTGCATGTTCAACCTCTGATAGGCAGCAAACCTGTGACAGCCTCCAAAGGAGTAGTAGTAATTTCCTCCCTCGCTGCCTTTGATCCAGAGCACATCAATAGGAGGAACAACGCTGATGTCTGCCGTCTCCTGGAAGGAAAGATAAAGTGTCAGTTAAAGCCTACAACAAGGTGTGGAGTGAAATTTAAGCGACAAGAAAAAGTAAAAAGTGTCATACATATATTCTATTTATCTGATAAACCAAAGGACTAAAATAATTCTAAAATCTTCCCAATAAAGTGAGGAAGGAACTATTTCTAACTAAATATATGTTAATTTTTGAAGAAAATCCCACCCTTTAACACCAATCCTGTGTAATCTCTATCTATCTATCTATCTATCTATCTATCTATCTATCTATCTATCATACTGAAACAATGTCCTATATTGTGATTGGCTCAAAAATACAAAAGTCAACACTTGATCAAATACCAGCTTCTTTTGATTTTCTTTTTAATGACGTAACAGCCACTTTTCTGTAGTTGTTTTGCATACAGTGAAAGTGGAGAGAGCAGAGAAGCCATGCAGGTTAATGCAGGAAAAAAACTGCCATGTCTTCAGCTGGACCGGAGGCGCCAACGGTCTTCATCACAAGTACGTCATTTATTGGGAGGAGTTGGGGCAGTGTTTGGGAAGTTAAAAAGGTACTTGGAAAACAAAGACGTTTTCCAATGTTTGCAGATGTTTGGGGGGTTTTTTTTCTTGTAACGCAACAGTGCCTGGTTTAGCGTATTTGGCACTGTTATAGTAAAACCTGTCACTACAGAGGTGTGTGGCTAAACTGAGGCCAATATTTACCCTGAAACTTCATCATCCACAAACAAATGATAACATAAAACAACCGTGTCACCCTTATTGTGTCCATCAGGCTCTGGACTTTCTGCTCGTCCAGCACTGGAGGAAATGGTCTGATGATGACCTGCATCGGGATGTTATGGACCTCCTCCACGGTGTCCGAGTGAATCGACCTGTTGTCGGTGCTTTGGTCACCGCCCGCCGGTCCACGGTCACTGGGCGCTATCGACATATTTCTGCCGGTTAAAAACACCAGCTTCAGCGGAGATTTTGCACCACAGTACAGCCGAAACATTTAGCATACCCCCCGACTACAGTACACTCGACTGTTTCTTTACTTCCTGTTGTTAAAAATGAAAGGTTTTGATTGGTTATTCTCTCTGTCAATCACACAATTGCCATGCCCTCTCGAGGGCAGCGGTCACAGGGTTTCAACCACAGTAGAAACTTTAGGTGTGCGTTTGGTAGCATTTAAAGACATGTAGATATAACGCATGCCTGCAAAACTGCTGTCCCATTAAAATTCACTCCAGAAATTAATCGTGCAGTTATGTAGAGCTGCAACAACCCCAGAGCCCTTCGGTGGCAGTGGTTTCTATTAATGAGGTCACTGTTTTTTTTGTGGACTGTTGCACGATATGGGCCTCTTCCTCCTCCTCCTCCTCCTCCTCACTTGTTCATATTCTATTTTTGCAGGGATTTCAAAGACCCAGCCAGGTTGCTGTGGCTACATGGGAAAAAAAAGGATGTCTGGGCTCACACAGGTAAGTAAACTTCAAAAGATCTGCGGCAGTGGAGCGGAAACAACTATTGTTTTCTCCAAGCCACAGCTACAGCAAGCTACAGCATCATCTTCTAATGAGACAATTAAAACTGATTTCTTGGACAGAAGAGGCAGCCCAGTATATTGAATTATTAGAAATTCTTTGAAATGCAGTGGCAGCGCCTTTTATGGTGATTAATTGGTCACACGGGGATCAGTTAGAACATGAAAGTGGCCTATATATAGTGTGTAATCATTAACAGAGGTATCAGCATATAGTATAATATTACAGATTAAAGATGAACAAAATGGATCCTGTTATGCTGCAGTGGGTGTAATCAGCTTCTTTTTTTTTTTTGCCTCATTGTCAGGTGATTGTGTAGAAACAGCAATCTGTTTATTATTTCACTGGAGAACAGCTTAGCTTTGAAAACTGCCTCACATTTTCTACTTTGTTTCCGAAAGAGCAATTTAGCTGACACCAGAATACTGAAAACCCCACTTAAACTCTAATATAGTGACATGGATCATAATATGCTGACATGGGCTCCACGATTTAGTGTCCCTGCATGAATAACTGCAGTATAGTAAATAAGTACGGTGACATGTCTCTCCCCTCTCATTCACCACTTCATACCATAGTCGAATTGTTGCTTTGCCGTCAATCAAAAGCCGTTTGAAAAGAAACCAGCGTCACATGAAGACAAGAGACCGTGTCAGTCAAGCAGTATAGACATTTAAATCATCTCCAGCGTTAAAGTGTGTTCAGAGTCCCACTACACTCTGCGTGACCCTCTGCTGTCACAGCAGGGTGGTATGCGAGTTGTTAACATATCTCAATTACTTAGATTGAGTTAGTCACACAGGTACAGCGGCAGGTCACGGAAGAACAGTTCCCACATAATGATTTGCTGTTAATATTAGATTTCAGTCCCCGTGGGATTGTCACACTTAGAGCAGCTGGAGAAAATTACCTGCCAGCTTTCAGACAAGGAAGTGAGCTATATTTATTTACGCAGTATTATTTTTTTTACAAGTTGACATGCTTTTAAAGTGATAATTATTCTGATGCTGCTTTTCAGTCTCCTTTGTGATAGATGAATGTGTGTGAGATCTTAGCACAGTTTAGCAACAGCGGATGTCTGCGTGTTTCCGGCCGAACGTGTGACTGATTCGCTCAGTGATGTTGATTACTCGCCGATGGCTGTCGCTGCCGAAATCTATGAAATTATTTTCTGCACTATCTCCTTCAAGTACATGAGAATGAGATTTCTGTTTAATGATCTTCCTCGCCTTGAAATAAATTTGCACCCCAAATCTCATCTACAGAGAGAGAACAAGTGGTGCTTCGGAGAGAGGTTATTTAGATGTGGATTAAACTGCAGTCACACTCAGTGCACCGTTCATTGACCTTATAGCAAAAACAAAAGCACAGAGACATTTTTTTCCAACTGTAAAGCCAAAAGAAACAGTTCATCCAAAAATCAAATTAACATGATTTCCCTCCTTCCAATAGTGCTGTTTTTCCCAGATTGTTTGGTGTAAGTTTCCAGGTTTTGGAGTTTTCCGTCTTCCCTTAAACATATAAGAAGTAAACGTCACTCATCTTGTGGCGCTCGAGGTGATTCTTCTGCAGAATCATAGGATTGGCAGATCTGGTTTGGTATAGAAAGAGATTTGCACGCAAGTTTGATTAACTAAATCATGATTTCTTCCAATAGACATTGCTGCTGAGTTTTCTTTTCTTTTTTGGCACCACAAGGTATAACTTGCATTCCCTGGCCATCTAATTAGATACACTTTGCTAGTACTGTGTTGGACCTCATTTTGCCTTCAGAACTGGCTTAATTCTCTGTGGCATAGATTCGACAATGCTGGAACTATTCCTTGGAGATTTCAGTCCATGTTGACATGATAGCATCACACAGTTGCTGCAGGTTTGTCATCCATGATGTGAATTTCCTGTTCCAAGAGATGATTAGAGTTTTTTGACAAAGCAGCCGTCAGAAGATGTGTGACAGGGTCAGCATCAATATTCAGGTAGGGTGTGGTGTTTAAACAATGCTCACATGGTACTAAGGGACCCAAGGTTCCAAGAAAATATGCCCTCATACCATTGCACCACCACTGCCACCAACCTGAACCACTGATACAAGGAAGGATTGCAGTCTGGTCATTCTCCTCTTGACTTCTGGCATTGCTAAAGGGATCACACAGAGAAGTGCTCCTCACTGGGTATTTTCTCTTTTTCAGACCTTTCTCTCAAAACATTAGAGATGGTTGTGTGGTGAAAATACCGCACGTAATTCACCTTTCTTCCCCATTCTGATGCTCAGTTTGAGTTTCAGCAGGTCATCTTGACCATGTATACATTTCTAAATGCTCTGAGTTGCTGCCATGTGATTGGCTGATTAGATATTTGCAGTTGAACAGGTGTGCTAGTAAAGTGACCAGAGAGTGTATCTCTATAACTCAGCAACTCACATCAAAACAGTTTGTTCTGAGGACCAGAACCGGCCAGTAGATGATCTCATTTCATGAAGTCATAAAAGAAAAACAAAACAACCTCCAAAAGTCAGTAAATATCAGTTAACCTGGAGGTGACTGACTACACTGAGTCTTTACTGCTGTTTAACTCAAACCCAACAGAGGGCGCTCCACTTACTTAAGCAAGCCAATATTTAAACACATGTGAACACATAACAGCTGATGGATAAGCATCTGGCCTCTTTAAATCAGACAGACAGTAACGCTCATGCAAAGTGATCCCTATTAAATTATTCGTTGTTTATCTATGCATGTATAGGACAATGTGTGTGTTCAAAAATAGTTATAGTAATTTTTTTCCCAGTGTGATATGCTGAACTACAAAGGTATTAAAAATTGAGTTGGCTAAACAAGAAATAACAGGACAGAAAATGATTTGAGTTCTTTAATATTGTTGTAATTATATTATTGTTATTGTTGTTATATTGTTATATGTTGATGTTTATTTAGAAAATTGTTTTTATTTTAAAGCCACAATTGTACTGAAAAATCTTAGATAGTTGTTCTGTTAGTTAGCTTTTACACAATTATGGTCGCCTGCACCCAACGCTCATCTTCTGAGTGTAATTCATTCACAAAAAAATGAGAAAAAGCACACAATAAAGAAAGTTAACGATTATTTTTTATGTGGCAAAGCGTCTGTCTGTCCATCCGTTGATTCATTGTTCACAAGAGTCAGTTCTCCTACAAGATTGGTCAGAATTTATACACCGTGATCATTTAATGCGTCTCCATCAAAAACGATGAAGGTCATATTTGCTATTTTACAGGCACATTTCCATTTTCAGATGAATCACTAGTCCTTTTTAGAGTGACCTGACAAAAAGGCTGTGATAAAATAATCAGACATGCCTACCGAATTCATCGAGTTGAACACAATTCAGTACTATCTTCTTATCATGTTTCAACTGACATTAATTAGTATGCTTTAAAAAAGCACAACAATTGAATATGGGTTTGAACTGCCCTTTTCATAATCAGCAAATTCTGTAAAATATTTTTTAATCCTCATCAGAACAAAAAAAAAAAATCTGAAGTTTGTGTAAACGTCCTCACATTTAAGAAGTAAATATTTTGAATTTTGGTCTAAAATTTGCTTTGTTATTTTTCTGTAATCAGAATAGTTGCTGATTGATGAACTTATACGCTAATCAGCTAATTATTGCAGCTCTGCTAATTATAATGCAATGCAGTGCTGTCCTTGTTACTGCGTACATTGTATATGAAGGAAAAAGGAGCTATTTAAGGAATAACCTCCTTGACTTTTGCCTGAGTGCTGATGACAAGTTGGATATCTAAGATGCATAAAAATGCGATTTTGACATGACTTCAAAAAGAGAAGCATACGGATGAGGTGGACCCTCTGCCAACAGAGAGATGAGGAAACAGATGGGTTTTACACAAACAGCACAAACATCAAGAACACTGAGTTAAAGAGCTTGGCAGTCTCACTTGATGAAACAGTGAGGAATGGAGGCGCTTTTAATGAGCATCTCTCCTGTGATGCAGAATGTGAAAAGACAAACTGTTAGCTCTTAAAGGGGCAGTTACAGTTGGTTGGTCCTGGCTGGTTTTACCAACCTCTTGTTGAGTGACTTTGGTCAGGGTGCATACCTGCTGGTTATGCAGTGGGGCACTGTTTGCATGTGGATTTTAGGAGCTTGAAAACGATGCAGAGCAGATTTTCTCCTTCAGCTGAATCATCCAGTTGAACTGACAGCACTGTCATCAACATCAAAGCATGTTTTTTTTTTTTTGTTGTTTACGCTGACAGTTGGTGAACAGCCTACAGATGGCGCCAGATGTATGAAAAGGGTCGGAGCAAGGGCCGGCACCAGATAAAGGAGAGTTGAATTAGTTAATGATAATTTAGATAATTACAAAAATGATTAGTTGTTTGCTTTTTCACCAGCCAGTAACTGAGAGACACCTGCAGCAACTGAAATAAAGAGTGATTGTAAATTCAGCAGGAGCATCCATGTCTATTTTATGACCGATCTTTGATGAATTAATGAGC